TTTGTGTGGGCGTTTGTGTGTGTGTGTTTTATCTGATCTGTATGGTTACTAATTCCTTTTCTTTATGGCAGTCATTTTTGACCGGGAACACCATGGTCAAGTTGACTAAATCATCCAAAATTCAATGAAAGTGGTGATCAGGAATTGTATATGTTCAAATGTCTACTGTGAAGGATATAATAAAGCCTTAATGCAATCAAATGTAAAACAAAAAAGTTATGATTGATGAAAGTAGTAAATCGGTCAGATTTGACCCGAACACAACAGGAGGGTTAAAGCAAAACATTGTAAAATCTTGGATTGAATGGTTATCAGTTGACAATAGCTCTTTGTTAGATTGTAAACGGGACACAGTCTCGCAACTCCAACTTCATTTTTGAGTCTCAAGTTGCTAACTGTAGACATGAGAGAGGAAGCTTTGGCTGAATGCTAGACCAAAAGCCCAACATAATATAGCCCCTTGCCCCCAGAGGCTTATTGTCATCACCTAGCCAATTGGTTTCTAGATTACCAAGAACTAAACCCTGTGGGAAACACACCTGGGCTATTGGAAACTTTATTTTATTAGTTCAAACATGAAGTTGAAAGATGTTGAAAGTCTAGGTTTATAACTGAAAGGGCAATTGTCGCAATTAACCTTTTCAGCACCATCGAAAATGTGGATTATTTGGCAAAAAACTTCCTACTCCTCTGAAAATTGTCCAAATTAATTTCTGTAAACATGAACAATTTTTAAATGGCTTAGTACTTACAGTAGGGTGCACACACAGAAGGCACACCTTGCCCTCAGCCATCAATTTGTGCACAGAATCTACACTTGTTCCATAGTAGTGTCCACTGTATCTTCCATATTCTACAAACCTAAAAACAGAACCAAGCAGTCCGTGAACAGACAGAGAAAACATCCTAAAATGTAATCAGACAGCAATAGAAATGAACATCACTCTCATGAAGGGGGACAATTGTTAACACCATGGGAAAGGAAACACCTGCTCATGTACCTTTGATTGAGAATATCCTCTTCAAACATGGATATTGACACAAAATTATAATCCACTCCTTCATTCTCCTGCCTTTTCTTCTCACGTGTGGTGTCTGAAAGAAAAGAGACGAGAGGCTTAGGACAGCTGTTAAGGATGAGAAACCATTTAGTGCGCGGGAGGTAAAGGTAACATTTCTGGAAGTCTATCTTACGCGGTACAGTCACGCCATAGTGGTCAGGGTCTGAGAGCAGGAGCCTCCTCTTCAGTTCATTAACGCCAACGCCGCTGGGCCCTGGAGACGGAGATAAAAACACTGTGTTCTGTATGTAGGTATTCATTCCCAAAATCACTATGTACTATTGTTTGCCTTACAACATCAAATAGGCTTAGTGATCTGGTGACACATCTGTCTTTATAATCAGAGAACGACAAAGGGGAGCGGGGGAGAGTCAGACAGACAGAGCTCTGATTTCATACTGATTTCAGTCTGAAAACGGTTCTCCGTCTCTTTCTTCGCCGGTGTCTCTCTATTGAACATTCACTGCTCCGAAGCCCTCTGGAAAATCCATAGCATCCCGTCTAAACGTGACATCTGCAAAGCCACACAGTATCGGTGTCATTAAAGTGTAGGATGCACAGGATAAAGCACATACACACCACTGTACACACACATACTGTAGCATCTGGGATTTTCTTTTCTAAAGCAGCTTTTCACAGCCCCCAGATTGCATCAGACTCTAATGGAGCGCCGTCTGAAAGTAAGATTCCTGACATACCTGCCTTTTCCATCACAGGGTTGCATGAGCTCGATACAAAATATCAGGTTTATGGACTCTCCACTCTTACACCACTGATGTCTTCCGCAGCTGCTCCACCGAGCTGGAGAGGAGCATCATCGGGCACTGTGGATACTTTCTCCTGACCTTTTTTTTTTTCAAGAGTTACACGATCTGTAGAGCTTAAATCGGCTGGCAGTCGTTTTCACCAACTTTCCTATGGCTATTGTTCCATTCAAAGTGCGTATGCAATGCAAACAAAAGAGGACATATTTCCAACCTGGTCCAACATTATCCATCTGATGCTGTTTTAGCCATCCAGGTTCTGGTATTCCTGTCCATAAATCTCATTGCCAATAAGCTATATATTGCTAATGATGAACTCCGGTCAACGAAGAGCCTTCACAGCAGACAGTAAAACGTAGTCCAGAGTTAGGGTAAACTCCAACTCAATTAAAGAGGTCTAAATCTAAATCCAAGCTGTCTTAACTGTTCCAGTTTAATGATGGAGCACTTGGCTGACATTATGAGGAATATAATTCACAATCCACTCTTCCCCTTCTCTCCATTCACTATCATTAATCTACTATATCTGGTAAATGTTTTTTCGCCTCTTTAATTCACTTTGTTTCGCTTCTTTCTGCCCTCCACTTTCGATTTTCTGTCCCTCTTCTGCCCTTCTCTTCTTTCTTTGATTTCCCTTGGTCACAGACGACCTACAGTCGTATCATAATACGACATTAAAAAGACCTTCAGCGGGGCTCAATGTGAAATTCCCGCGGGAGAGATATAGCTCAGAAATACATAGAGCAGACCGGCAAGGTTGGCAGGGAAGTGAGTCTAGGGTGGGCCACTTGGTAACGTAAGAGAACAAAATATATTCTGACTTGAGTGCTCTGACAGTGTTTACGTGCTTATGACGGGAAAGGATTATTCTTGCACTCAAGAGTCGGGAAATAAATCTTCATCAGGACATTACTTTTTGTTTTGATCAATAACTGCTACAATATAAATAATAGTGTTCTTTTAGTGAATGGGATCATGTTGTTTTTTATATGGACAAAAGAAGGCTGGGGATGATATAAAACAAAAAACTATTGCACATAAAGCCACAGTAACTACCATTTTTTGCTAAATATTAAATCAATGTGAAATGTTATGAACACATTGTACTACATTAGCCCAGTGGTTCTCAAACTTTTTCAATAATGAACCCCCTTTGAAAAAAAAATTCAGCCAAGTAGGCCTACCCCCTGATAATTTTAGTAAAACAATTTGTTAGGGGAAAAATGCCTATATACAGTACAGCCTCGCACCATCAGTGTCCAATTTATTAAAACAACAACATTGTAACTGAGAAACACTTGAATGCTACATTTCAAATGTTTACAAGCCAAATTCATGGCAAACCAATTTTAACATCATGCAATAACACTAAGACGACATTATTGCATTTAACTGATGTTTTTAATAAGTTGTACAATTTAGTGAGAAACATGATCTTTGTCATTCTCGGTGAAAGGAAGGCAAACTGCAGTTATTACACTTGGCGTTTTGAAATATGTGTAACTTTGTTAATATAAAACCCGCACTGCTCAAACTTCGTTACTTTTCCTAAAATTTGTATATTTATTTATTTTGGGGCGTGGGGAATGAAGAGAAAAAAATATATGAGCATTTTATGAGCATGGGATTTTGATCCGACCTCCTCCAGCGTCATAACTCACCGGGCGCGTTTCAGAAGCGTTTCGGAAGCGGAGCGTCTTGTGTGCCGGCTCGCAGTTTTTGTTGATTTGGGCATATTTCCGGGACAGGCTACTTTGTACAGACAAAGTTAGTAATAATTGTAATAGTCCAGTTATAAACGACATGAATCAAAGATGTGTTGCTGTATTTTAGTGGTAAAAAAATTCATTCATCATCATAATTATTCAATATATATTGTAACGTTCACAGAAGGAGTCGGAAACAGGCTTCCAGTTATTAGGCTTTAATAACTCTTATTTTCTAGATGATCACAGGTACAGGGATAGCTTGTGGGTTCAATCTCACACACTCTGAAACTAACTCACCACACATACCCATATATATATCCCTGTCTACGTCACAACTTCCCGCCCTCCCCCGTCTGCTCCCCCAACAACAGGCCCGCACCTAGACCAGCATCACTGTGCAGCTCTGTGATTGGCAGAGAGACGGGGGATGCCTGAGTGACACCCTCAGCATCCTATCAGGGTCGCTACACTACCCCCCCACTACAAAGTTCCTCGCCCACGAGGAACAAACAAAACCCAGCACAAACACTACAACTACACACTGAACTTTAAGTAGGAAGGTCTGGGGGGACTACCATCCCTTCCATTGAGACCAGGGCACATTCTTGCCCTCTACCGTAAACAAGGGGTCTCACTAAAAAAAACTTTACCAACACACAAAGTCTCTGAAACGACCCGGGGGTCGTGACTGCCTTCTCGGCAGGGGGACTGGGGTGGCCGGTTCCGGCCCAGGCGGGGAAAGGGGGAAAGTAATGGGGGGACACTCAGTCCCTGATGAGGCACTGCTGCTCCGCTCGCCGGGGGACCTGAGTGAGGATGTTGCAGGGCCGGCTGTGGGCCCCGGTGTTCCTGGGGCCTGTGGGGAAGTGACTCCTCGGTACGGAGCCAACCTGTCTCTGTGGAGAACCATTTTTCTCCCCCTTGATGGCAGCTGCACCCTGTAAACCACTTCCCCCACCCTTTCCCCACCAGCCTCCTCCTTGGTGTTTGGTTGTTTCGTGGCAGTACCGATTAAGTCTGCGAACGAGACAAGCCAGCGATAAGTACCAAGCTATCTGGTGCATCCGGCCCTTCTCTTGTAAGCGATTGGGTTGCAGTTGATGACCCAAGCCTGTAATCCTCGCTCAGAACCTGAAACGAGACACGCAGAGCGATCCGCGCATAGCACGAGAAGAGTGGATGTTTGGGCGTAAATGTTGGAGTCACGGGCCACCTCTCTCTCTTGTCCCTCAAGCCTCTTGACATGTGGTGCCATCTAATAAAATAACGCCGTGATGAATGGCTAAGTCTAAATCTGCTAACAAGCGGCATCACATTGGGGACAGGTAAAGTGGGAGGTGCTGCTACCTGTCCTGTCTGAGTGACTGTCGATGTCCGCACCGCTGTGCGGAGACGTGGAGGGAGGGAGGGAGGGGGAGGGAGGGAGAGCTACGGAACTTCTAATCTCCAGAACTGATGTTTGTATTCAACAATATATTTTTTGGAAAGGGAAACTGTGCGCAAACACGCAGTAGATAATATTCATTTATAAAAATAAAAATGGGGTGGGAAGAGAAGGGGCAGAGGGCTCAAACCCACTTTGATGGTCTATGCGTGGCACGTGCCTGCCTCCACCCCTCGAAAGTTATACGCACTTGGATGTCTTCTGTCTGCAGTCTGCAGTCAACACTGTGACAGCCTGCATGTGGACAAGTACGCGCAAATGTTACGGAAATATAAACCTGAGGCGGAATCACTCAAGTGATGAAATATTTTAAATGTTAAAAGTAGACCCTATCACCATACCGATCTTTATCTACCAGCCTTATCTACCCCTGGAACTAGCTAAAACTAGTTATACCACTGTTTATTATGTTGTCCGTGTCGGGTGACTCATTACTAAGGTGATGGATTTAATGGCTCTTCTGAAGGGAGCCCGGATCGTTATGCTCCGTCTTTCAAGACGCCGGTTCAAAAAGAGTCGTTCTCAAAAGGAGCCGTTTTTTTAAAGGCGGAGCGGGGGTTACAGGTTTATCTGCGAAATAATCACTCAGGATAATGGATTGAACTGTATTGTCAGAACCTAATGTCAATATCTGCATTGTAACATGTAAAAAGGTGCGCATTCTGTCAGTGAATGTATATTTGAAATGTAGCTCCAGCAATCCAACTGCGTTTCGCGTTTGGCCTCATTTTCCCATACCGAAAAACACGTTGCACCTGTCCTGTTACCACGTTGTTATGACTTCTCTCTCTGCTGTATTTCCGTTAAGCACCCACCCATCTCTCCTCGTGCTGAACCTGGTGTCACAATCTGTCCTACAACGGATTTGTCTGGAGCTCGCCCCCCCCCTCCCTGTCTGAGCCCGTGTGCTCTGATTGGTCAGCGGACGTGACTGCTCGCGAGGACCTGCTGTGAAGGAGCAGAACAGGTTTCGTGTCGAAGATAGATACCAGTCCAGAGTAGGGGTGGGTCTTCAACAGAGATACGTTTTGGGAACAAAATCAGCTTTTCGTAAAGGCTAGTGGATTTTGGCAGGCAGTGAGCTGCGGCAAAACGATTGAACGATAACAAGAACGGCTTCTCGTGCTGGTTCTGTCATATAAAGAGGTTCAAAGACATCGGCTCGTTCGCGGACGACCACATCACTACTTACTAGATAGACGCAGCTGCATGAGGACACAGGCGGACAGGAGAAGGGGACCGCGAGAAGAGGCGGAGACGGAAAAGAGAGGCTCCGTGTATTCAAACCCGCCATGTATTATCCAAGTTTAAGTTTGCTGTAAACTGTCTGAAATAATGTTAGTAACTACTAGTCCTATTCTGATCAAGGGAGAATCTAGTAATTTTTTTCGAGCAATGTTAAGTAACTGTAGCTGGGGGTGATTAACTGAATTTATAAACAGTAACGCGCCGGTTCATTACTTTCGTTACCGACAAATGTAGATGTTATATAACATTACAGTTTGTCGGTAACAAAGTAATTGTAACGCGGTTACTTTGTTACACCCAAATCTGTCCACAACTAATACATTCTGAACTCACCTGTTGATGCTGTCGCCATAATGTCACTGCAGGAACAAATCCTATTTCAGCTGGAAACCAAATGCTTCGTTTAAAGAACCTACGGCGAGAGTTGAAAATAATTGTTGGGTTAATAAAACAAAACAAAACATCGCTTTCAACAATCTTTGTTTTAAAGCAATTTTATTTTCGAATATATGAAACAATGATTTGTCTAAACTACCTAACTGGGTTTTTTTTTTTTTTATAAAACTGTATATAAGTAAATGAAGTTTGTTACAATCATTGATTTGACGATGAGTTTTGCTTTTAAAAGCGAAACTCATCTACCATCTCTTGTTTTAGTTTCATTAAGCGCAGACGCATCCTTATTCATACTATAGTGGTTGATGTTACGTGGTACAAAGTGAATGTGTTAACCAGTGGCGCACCGTGGGGCTTTAGACAGTGCCTTCCGTAAACAATATTGAAAACACATACAAGTAGGCTACACACTCTTCTACACGTCTCTGTTCCAGCGCAACGCAGCCATAATCAAATAATGCGCCATTATGCCAAACAGTCTCTCCCAACATTGATCAATTAAGTAATCCTATTATTAAACTGCATGTCATTGGCACTCTCAGGTCGCTCTAAAATTATGGAATAGTAATGTACTCAGCCCGTCAAGCTTGTAAATATAACGTCCATCCGCTTCCGCAGTTTGAGTTTGACTGCCGCCGATTTGGCATTCGGGCAAGGGAGGCGGCGACATGGTCCGGGCCAGGGACAGGTAAATACCGAAACGGGGGCAACGCCAATAGGAACATTGACACAGGGCGTTTCGCAAATCAGCAAAAAAAACGTTAATCTGAACCGCGCGCGGGAGAGAGATGAGTTATTGTTATTACAAGCGTAACCTCACTATTCTAACAACCTCTTTTAGTGGTTAAGGTAAGCATTCTTAGAATAGGTGACGCGAAAATGGAATTAACTTATGTTAGACCAGCTATTCATCAGCTCGAAGTATAATTGTACTGTAGAATGTATGCGCAAAAAATGCTATGGCAATTAATAATTGATATCGAATTACATTAACTGTGAATGTCTTTCTCATTTTATTTCGAGATAAACATACAAATGACGCTACCAGTATTTCCATTACAAAAGTTGATTGCAAGAAGCACAATCTCGCTTTAATTAGATCAAGTATTTTCTTTAATACTCTCCCGTANAGAGCATATATAGCATATATATATATATATATATATAGGCCTATATATATACACACACACAAACTAATTTTGCAGACCCTATCCCTCCGTAGTCTTTCAAGTAGGAGAAATGCCGGCGTTCTCCTCCGGTTTACAGGCACTGTGTAAATATATATTGAATAATTATGATGATGAATGAATTTTTTTACCACTAAAATACAGCAACACATCTTTGATTAATGTTGTTTATAACTGGGATATTACAATTATTATTAACTTTGTCTGTACAAAGTAGTCTGTCCAGGAAATATGCCCAAATCAACTAAAACGGCGAGCCGGCAGGCAAGACGCTCCGCTTCTGAAATGCTTCTGAAACGCGCCCGGTAGGGTATGACGCAGGAGGAGGCCGGACCAAAACCGCGGCGCAGCCGTTACGCGACGCAGACAGACCCGGTGGAAACTAGGGGTAAGAGTTAGACCCAACACTTAGCTAGTTTATTTACTCTGGAACTAGCTAAACAAGTTATAAATATATTTATTCTTTACTGTCGGGTCACTTACAGGTTCAGCGAGCTGCACGAGACTGACGGGCTGTCAGGAGAGGGAGAGGAAAAGAGAGCACCCTGTTTATTTTTCCCATTTTATTATCCAAATTTCTGTAACTTTTGAATACAGTAGTTAATCTACTATTAGTAGTTTGTTTGAATGCATTACTTATGTTGTTTTTCCCATTAACATACAATTAATTTCACGTACGCCCTGCAGTACTCCAACGTACCCATAGGGGGCTGCGTACCCCCATTTGAGAACCACTGCATTAGACTATAGCACAGTAACCTATTTAACGAGATGTTGGCAGTGTGCTCTTAAACATCTCCACAAAAGATGGGAATATTCCTGTTTCTTTGCGCAACCGTATGTTAACCTCATACGTACCAACCAGAACAACCAGGCGGTGTGGGTCCTTGGGGTCTCTGTGGTAGGGGGTCACCTGTTTGTAGGTAGGGGGTCGAACTGAGCTGTGTACCCCTGTGCTCCAACTCCTGGACCGAGCCGCTTCTCTGGCCCAACTGCTCTTTCTTCCGAGTCGGAAACTTCTTCTCAACCCAGCTGGAAAAAAGAGATATGGATCTCAGACCTGCCAGGCGTATCATTGAAAACCTAGCTGAAAATTGCCTCATTGAAATTGCCCTGAAACAATTTTCATTGATTTTCCTTTGGGGCTTCGTGACTGCAGTGCAAGACAATGTCTGGAATTAATATAAAGTAACTGAGGTGAATCCCCTACTAATTTAAACATGCAGGTAAAGTGAATCAATACAAGTGTTCAACACTAACACAACACTGCCACCCAAACTCTTCTGTAAAGCACCAATCCTGAAAAGCCCTAACCCTGCAGTAGACGACAACTCCATCTGTCACGCGTCGCTTGTAGGCTCTCTGACAGCCAGCGTCTGCCATGCAACTGTGGTCTGGCTTGGCAGGCCTTCTCTTTTTCATAACGTTAACTGCTGCTAAGTGGCGCTGCCAGACTTGCTTTGACGTCAGCTTTAATTTCTCTTTGTAAGCATATCTGTCCGTTCCCTCTCTGGGCTTCATAAGAAACATGGCACAATTAGTAGAGATTTCAAACTTTTGTTTACATGGGATTGAAACTGATGAATTCACTGAGAAATGTCAGTGTAATACACACTGTCTAAAACATATGTCATACAACAAATGAGAAAGCCTATAGCATGAAACAAGGTCTATAAGAAAGCATATCGTAATTGTCAATCTTAAGGAAAACTGGCAGTGAAGTTCATCATGTGTCACTGAAAATGCTCTCAGCTGTAAAACTGTAGGATATTTTTGGAAATGCTGTAAGGCACATTTTAAAATATGAAATAAGGGTCAGATAAAACTGTGGGGAGATTCAATACATGCGATGCATGTCATGAACTGGGCCTGAGCCCTCTATGTCAAGATGATATGATATGAGCCTCAACCTGCAGTCCAATAGAGTGGACATATACTCTCAGTATGAAGGATTGGCGTCCAAGACCATTGAGTCCATTTTTAGTGGTACTGAATATGTCAGTCCTACCATGAGAACTAAACAAAACAAAAAAACCTGGCAAGAAAGCAGATTTCCCAAAATGTTAAATAATTATACAAGAAGGTCACTCAGTCCAAAGTCACTTTGATACGGAAGTTAGCTTTATCGGAAGTTCGCTTATATAACGGGACATAGGCCTACTGTATTTCTGAGTGACGCAAAATATGAAGCTGCACGGGTTATTCTAGGACCCAACCTTAAAGGTTTCATATCATGCTATTTTTAGGCATATATTATGGGTTTCAGATATATAAAAAACATGTCTACAGTATGATGTGTTTTGCTCACACAGAGGGGTATGAGGCTTGGCTTGAATCTGTTTGGTACTTTGAGCAAAACACATCATACTGTAGACATGTTTTTTATATATCTGAAACCCATAATATATGCCTAAAAATAGCATGATATGAAACCTTTAAGGTTGGGTCCTNTATTGTCAAAGCATTTAATATATTCATTGCTATCGGGATGTTAAGAGCATTCCATGGAACATAACAAAAAGTGTTTCTGAAATAAATTACATACCCCACCTTTAAATCACAAGCGTACAAATATATAATGTTTCCTAAAGGATGTCAGTAATTTCCTAAAACAGCACCAAACTCTAGCAAATGTTACTCAAACTGGAGTAAATAGTACATTTTGTTCAGGACTACTTCCTGCTGCGGATGAATCCACGTTTGGCGAACTTACTTATAGTATGTACAATACAATACACTGTATTGTATTATAGAGCACTTTGCAGGTTTAAAGTGCTGTATTGAATACAGCTTTATTTATAGAGCACTTTAAACCTCCAGACCAAAGTGCTAGATGTAGGCCTAGATTGTTGTATGGCCATGTTCTTTAATGTGTGTTCCATAGTTCTGCATTTGGCTCAACCTACTTCCAGTCTTTATATTGTGCTAGGCTAAGCTAATTAGCTTCTGGGTTTTAAGCTTTTTAGCGATTTGTATTCGTCTTCTAATCTAACTTGGCCCAAAGCAAATAAGAATCTCTTAAAATGTATAACCACCTCTTCTTCTCGTGCAGGCTCGATCTCAAGGTGAAGTTAGATTCACAATCATTCCTGCCTCCACAAGGGAAGAAATGTCATCAAATAAAAAGGTACAATACATATTCAAACACATATCACCATGCAGTGTGTTTTTTACGTTAGTTTAACATGCAATCTGGCTGCATGAGGAAAGCAGCCCCAGCTGGTTTCAGTAAAAAGAGATTAAATCAGTGGTATCTTGTGTGTTTGGTTATATTTAGTGTTTTTGCCATGGTGCTGTCACTACAGCAGCGCACTGTCAAGAACTCAATTCAGATCAGACAGTCAAGTATAAGACCATAACTAATTTTATTACAATTTCCTGCTTTTTATAATCTAAGCACTTGATTTATGATTTTCCACACATCACATATGTTGAGCCACATCAACTTCATTTATCATTAACGATAAATCTACACACTGTATGCGGAAAAAATTGCAAATCCTTTTATGTGTTGGAATAGTTCTAGGCCACTACTACCAAATACATGGTATCCAACCTGGAACCTGATAGAGCAGGGAGCATTTGCTCTGGATTAAGATAAATTATTTTCTATGATCATGGTAATATTTCAAAAGTGACACCAACATATGTTACAAGGCACCAGTCATAGTTGTTGTGCTGATTGCTAGGATACAGAAGTTCATAAGGTTGCAGTAGGAAAAGATAAGAATGAATCGATTACGCGGTAACCTGTTTTGTTTAAAAGAAAATAATATTTTCTTTCCTCAGCTGTTTATGCAGGCTCTTTTCGACTATGATCCCAATGAGGATCCCACCGTTCCGTGCAAAGAAGCAGCAGTAGCCTTTAGAAAGGGTGACGTCCTCCAGATAGTCAGCATGGAGGATGACACCTGGTGGCAGGCCCGTCACCTTGGGGACAGCAACGATCGGGCAGGACTCATCCCCTCGAAGCAGCTCCATGAGAGGTACTAATTTGATCTTTTTTATACTGTGGCTGACAGGTACAAACTACAACGGCCAAACACACACAATAAACGAAACACTGCAGATAAAAAAACGCTGCAAGAATCTCAAAACACAACAGAAACCAGGGGACACTAAAAATGGATGCACACAGCTGGGACCTGAGCGATTACGTTCAGGCAGGGAGTATAAAGTTGGCCGCTTCAAGTGTTTTGTCAGTATACTTGAAATGACTAGGTTAGCTAAGTTAGCTAGCAAGTTTACAGCAGATTTGAAATCACATTGTTAAAATAAGCCAATAAAACTAAACATTTTAGGTACGTTTCCAGTGACAGTGATTGCTGGCCAACTTTATAATCCCGAAAACGTCAACACGTGTGCTCCGTTCCCAGGTGTGTGCATCACTTTTTAGTGTCCCCTTGTTCCTGCTGTCTTTTGAGCTTCTTGCAGCGTTTATTATTTGCAGCGTTTCGCTAATGCAGCACTTTTAGTAAATGCTGCACATGTTTCTTCAAGTTGGTGAATGTTTTATAAATGCTGTGCATGTGTTGTCAAATTGGTTAAGATGTTTCTTCTTTTGTTTTGGCACATTCCTGTTATTAATTTGCCTCGTTTTGCAGCGCTTCTCTTCGAATGGAAATGTGTTTGGCCGTTGTAACGTGTTTGCACCTCACCTGTGGACCGCAGTATTTTTAGTCTATAGAAACACATTTACCCTCTTAAACCACTGTCATCTAACATCTATCTTAAAGGTGGGGTAGGTAAGTTTGAGAAACCGGCTCGAGATACACTTTTTGTTATATTCCATGGATCTTAAGTGCTTTGACAAAAAATCCATAAAATATAATATAAAATGTCATCTGTGGAAGCCGTAGTACTGTAAAAAGCACGACCAATCATCTGAGCCGGCCCGGCTAAAATAACTGGATGGCCTACCTGCCTGTCAGCCTTCCATCAGTGCACAAACTTATCTCGTGCCCTCATTGGTCATGTGCGCGTTTGTGTGTGTTGGAGGAGGGACTATGTAAGGAAGTGGCAGATTTTTTCCGGCTGTGTATTTTCAAATTCTAGCGCACTCGAGCTAGTTTCTCCAAAATTACCTACCCCACCTTTAAATTCTGTTTTGATACACCCTTGTTTCCTTCGTCTTTGTACAGGAGAGTTGCACTACAGCGACCTAAGGCGCTGTTCAAGCCCCGACCAGTCAAACCACCAGGTGATGAATCGACATTTGTCAATAAAATCAACCACACCTGAAAATAATAAAAACTTTTAACATTTTCTAATAAACATGTTAAAGCTGCTTTGGCGCTAAGCTAAGAGGTGACAGGTCATGTCTGAAGATCCAGTCAAGGTCACGGCTGAACTCCGCTGCCCTCCCGTTGTACTCACTGCTTTTGTTTTCTCCACATGCTCCACAGATGTGGCGGAAGGTAGGCCTACTGTCTGTTCGAATTTGCTTTTGAAAACTTACCTCGAGAACAATTAACTTGATGTAATACACGTGTATATTTTAGGTTTGGGGTTTTTAAAGATTTAAAGAGGTGGATTATCCAAAAATAATATCATGTAATGCTTCTTGGAAGTACGGCGCGGAAAGGATTCTGTTATTTGTTTCCTCCAAACTGGTTTATCTGGCCCTCTGCGTTGTGCTCGTTTTTCGCTAACAACCAATTTGTAAGAGCGAGGTAGTTATTAATATTTTCTAAATTGTAGATATCATTTCTAAATGAAACTGTTATTAAATTCCCAAAGCAAAAATATTTGGACGTATTAGTCAACATATGTTAATGCTTTAAAAGATACATTTCAGAAGGACGCACGTGTCATGTCTTGTGGTTTGTGTTCATGGTTTTCTCTCTCTTTCCTCTTCTCTCTTCCTGTTTTTTCAGTCATGGATGACGTAGACTACGGAGCTATAACAGGGATCCACATTGGTGAGATGTTAGACTTGTTCCAAGTGAAAATGAACTAATGTGATTCAGGGCAATTGGACTTGAAGCAATAAAATAAATTGAGAAAAAACAGCAACAAAAGGAGACCGGGCTTATATTTAAATTACAAACCAGTTTATATGATGATGTAATTTTGTGGGTTTGGGGATTTAGGGTTTTAGCTGTCCAATTTATCCCATTTGATCTCATGGATTGCGTGTGTGCATATGTTGGATGCTCATATGGGGGATTGCACTTACGGCTGATTGTAAAAAGGTTCCAAGCGTCTGTACGAGAACGCTAATTACAGATGTTGCGTTATATCAGTTCAAAAAGTAATGTGCATTTAATAATGTGCATTTCATCTTATCTCAGGCCAGCTTCCACCTGATGACATGGTTCAGAGTCTGTGTTTCCTCTTTGTCTGGCATGTAAAATGTTATCGATGCGGCACAACCTGACTGAATGCAGAAGAATCTGAGCAGAGATGGCTTAACAACAAGGCAAATAGTGGGGTTTGTTTACAATAAAAGTCATGGTTATGGGGCGAAACAGGCTAACAGCTTGTCCCCGGGTTAGTTTTTCTTAAAGATTTGGTTCTGGTCGATCTTAGAACTGTTTGAAATGAGACAAGAAGATTGATACCGCACACATGTTTGTCTGTTGAATATTATGCTTAAAGCTAGCAGCCAGTTAGCTTAGCATAAAGACTGTAGCCCCATTAGCCATGTATTTGTGATACGGCAAAAACAAATGTATGATCAGGAGAAAATTACATTTCCTTTTAAACTTAATTTACTATAAAGTTTTGTTGGAGACCAGGCTGGAACAATATTTAAGTCAGCAAAATCTTTGTTCACATTTCCAATAATTTGTTGTTGAGGTCTTATTTTGTCCAATCATATTTAAGGGATTTGATTAATAAACATAACTTTATTTAGTCCATTTGCTTCTACTTGTATACGTAATTGAAATTAAGGTAGCCAAAGTGAAAAAGTTAAGATACTTTTGGAAACAACTTTATTGTGTGGTCAGTAAACAAAACCCTCTCTCTATTCCTCCGTACCCAAATCTCTAAAAACGGGGGTAGCCTACAACGGAGCTGATCCAGATTTGCGTCCGATATGACGTAATATCAGAAATCTGGGCTGGCTTTACACCCACGGCCCTATCAGAAACGTCGCTATCAGAAACAATGCCCGACTGTTTTGGACGTAATATGGTCTTTGTTTACATTAGCAAGCATCGCTAACACCCAGAGCTAACATATACTGGAGAGAGTATGTGTAAAAAGCAAGAAATAAAAAAAGGAACTCGCCTTGTGAGAGAAAAAGCAATTGAGCTCCACACTGTTTCAGAAATAATTCTTGATGTGGTTTTGAACACAATATGGCGTTTCAACATGGCAGCTTTTTTTTTTAAAGCTAAGGACCCAAAATCAGCACTTCTCTAATGGTGCATTCACACTACAGCGCGGAGCTCGCTTTAAGCGTGCTGAGCCGTGCGGGGCCTGTTTTTGGTTGCGCTTACACTTGGCCTAGTTCTGGCCCGGGGCTACTTTTTCACCTTTTTTCTGGCCCGACTAAATCGTTGTTCTATCGAGGCCAACAAACAGGGCTGAGTCGGGCTGAGTTTGCTAAACTAGAGAGAGAATCGCTGTCAAGGGGGCTACAACTACAACAATTGGAACATATTTTACCGTGATTTAATTGTAATACATGTTTCAAAATGATGCCGAAGTAACAACATACTGATACCGGTTAGTAAAAACCATGAATTAATGCTTTGACAAGTCTGCAGACAGACCGCAGGCGAAAAACCTTTTAAAATGCGTGTTTTCTAAATGGAGCTTGGCTAAGCTAACGCTATATATGCTCCAACCGTCCACACTCACAACAACGGCCTATACGGACATAAATAAACCAGCGACTGTATTCGCCATGACACAGGCAGTCTGTGGTTTGTACTTGTTTAACTTTTGTCTAGTTTCTGAACAGATATGAAGAGCTGTGAGCTGTGAGCTCTGAGTGCTAAGAGCTAACGGCTGTGTTGTTTTTCTGGGGAGCTCAGTGAAGATGACGTCACGGCTCCGCCTACACTGCGTTACTGTAGATACTACCCCAGTTCCTCACGAGTCTAAAAAACAACTCACGTCAACGCACGTAAGCAACGTGGGCGCCAACGTNTTAAAGGTGGGGTATGTAATTTATTTCAGAAACACTTTTTGTTATGTTCCATGGAATGCTCTTAACATCCCGATAGCAATGAATATATTAAATGCTTTGACAATAAATACAAACTCATCTCGTGCCCTCATTGGTCATGTGCACGTTCGTGTGTGTTGGAGGAGGGGCTCTGTAAGGAAGTCAGGAAAGGGCAGGTTTTTTGCAGCTGCGTAGTTTCAAATATTAGCGCACTCGAGCTGGTTTTCCAAAATTACATACCCCACCTTTAAGGTTCTATCATTTTATTTGAAAAAATTAGTTAAGAGGGATACAGATATGGTAAAACAGTTTAACGTCATTGACAGAAAGACTGAAGCTCTGTTGGTTTTTGTCTTTTAATCGATTTTGTTGACAGTGTCAGCATTATCCTTTGAGTTCACACATTTAAAGGAGGAGAGATAAGGTTAAGAGCAAAAAGAGAGAAGGAAACAGAAACACTTAACAAAGAGATGTATAAAACCAAGGCACGAAGGTGAGACTAACCAGAAGAGAAAGGATTTCCTTTGGCTTCCTGTGTTCCAGTGAGACTCCATTCACCTCTTTCAGCTCATCTCCTTCATGGATCAGGCCTTCCAAGTGTTGGAAATACATATAGAAATTACCACATGCTCCTCTCGTAGGCCTACATGTTATTTGACCACAACCACTTGTGAGAGTATATTGGTGAAACTGTAGTAAAAAATAGTTATTTAGCTTACCGCTTTTATCAGCTGCACCTCCTCTCATGATCCTCGCCACAACAATCGTCCCTGTGGATTTATCCATTTTAATTGTTGCACCCTTGAGGATGGGGATTAGCGAATGAAAGGATGATTGATGGACAAACAGAAGAGCACAGGCAAAGAGGTCAAGCAATGGACGGTGAAAATAACATGTTGGTTTTATTACAGTCCAGACAAGCTTCTCATTTGGAGTCGCTTCATTCGAATGAAGGTTATTTGTTTCAAGACGGGACTATTAAGCTGACTGCCTTCATGTTACACACAGAGCACTGGAAAACGGTTATCCAAATCAGATTTTTTTTTCAACAGATGTTATTGATGTGGAGTGAATCACAATGGAAAGAGCTTCTTATAGCTGAGTACAATCAGCTCACGCTCGGGTGTAACCCTGTTGTCTGGAAAACTGGAACATGCTGGATCGATCAAAGAGGCCGTGTCATAAAAAGGTCAATCCCCTTTCCAATCTAGTTTTGGGATCAATACAAAAGTATGTTCTCTATTATTGGTCCGGAAAAAACATTCCACTGTCAAAGCTCAAACATACAAGCATACACACTGCAAGAAATTTTCATCATTAAGTCAATTATTGTCATATATTTACCCTTAAGATAAGCCTTTTTATCTCGATATGTTTTTGGTTCTGTTTGCCTTCAAAAACGTATCAAAGACATTTTTCTAAGGAAACTTCTCAGGCCACAGGCTAAGACACACATGTTTTCGATGTGGATTCAGGATTATTTCGTTAAAGGAATTTTACCTTTGAATCTTGAAACATTTCTGTGTAATTTTAATGAGCAACAGGATCCACTTTAGTGAGGGAGAAAATAAGGCACATGTAAGCTGAAATGTATTTTATCAATAAAATAACAAAGTTAGAGGATTTTGCGGCCTTGGCGAAAGTATGCACACATTGTACTCAATTTATTTAATCCAGGAAATGTCCAGAAATAATTGACAATGGCTTGGAAGAAAGTGGTACCGACAGATCATTCCGGTAGTATCAAGACAAATTTGCTATGATTAAAGATCATAAAAACTACTTGTTTTACAGCAGAAACATAAAACAAATGATCCCAATCAATTTGAATACAGTCTTAAAGGACTCATTTGAATGACATAATTTATCAGTGGATAAACATATACACATGCTTCAATATGCACCCAAACAATACAGAACCTACGTTGTGCGTCACAGCAGATAAATGGCGAAAAAGATGTGGAAGAATTGACTGCAAATTCATGGCAGCTGCAGGAATCTACTCATGTGTTTCCTGTCGTTCCAAGGGCTGTATTCCTGCTACACCTTGGCTTCAGGGCTTTAGCAGTCACGCAGTTTGACAACACGACACCAATTCAGTCAACAGAGAAAAAACTTCAGCTCTCCCCTGGACATGTTTATTTATTTGCCCTGCCTGTGTATGTCAGATATTGCAGCTGGACAAATTAGATATGTCCAAGCGCAGTTGCCATGTCACAAGGTTGTCTTAACTTAAATCCTTACATTTGTGCTCAGTTTGTGAACATTACAAGCCAAGGCTAGGTAGACCAAAACAGGCTGACAGGCTGTTAAGCTCTACTGAAAAAGAAAAAGAAAAGCCACATAAAAGTATTGCTATCTGCTTTCTTGCCGAGATTTAGATTAGAAGATTGACACCATTCTCACCCAAAAATTATAAATATGCAGCTAAAGCCCGCAGAAGGATTGTCTTAGTTGTACATAGAGGTTGGGAAACAGGGGGGAAAACAGCCCAAGCCTTAAAACAGCTCCAAAATGTAATCTTGCATTTACTCTAATTGCCAGCAAGGTGCAACACCATAGGTTGCAAAAAGTGGTCCAGTTGTATAGAAGTCTATGAGAAAATGTATCTACTTCTCATTTGATTATTTACCTCGGTAAATTAATTAGGTGTATTCAAGTGAAAAAAGAAAATAAAGGATTGAAGTCGCTACCACCCTGAGGTATGAGTGCTGTCACCTCTTTCATCTTTTACTTTAACCCTTTCACAGTGAGTTCATGAACGTTTGTAACCTTACCATGTTGCCTGAAATATAGCATATATACAGTATATACTATTGCATGCATAAGAGGCAAACTGTGTCAAACTTCTCATTACCTCTCATAAAGAAAGCCCATACAATGATACTATTTGTTCAAGCCAAATATTAACTTGACCTCTGAAATATGAAGACATGTTTACTGACCAGGGGGTCTTTGGTTTTGACCAGACTGACAATCTTGACAGAATCCTCATCGTCTTCCAGAACAGTGTCAGGTATTGGTGGCAGAGTGGGCTCAAAGGTTCTCTGAGCTACAGCGTCATGGACACACAGGAGACACTGAGGACAGAACATTAAAACATTGAAGGATCAGCATTCAGGTAGGTCACATCGGATTTAAGGTAATGTGAGTAGATGGGACAATGGGTCTAATATCCTGTAATGCATCTCGCTTTGTATGGATAAATGGCACTGGCTAAGGCAAAAGCACGGAAAACCACACAACTTTAACCAGTTCAGGTTTAACCAACCTTCTGAAAACGTGCATTCTCGCTAGCCAGCAGGGGATGACTTCACTTGTTTCAAAAGAAAATCTTATTGTCCAGAGGGTCTATGAGAAAATAACAATGCTCCTAACTTTATGTATTCTATTGTTTAACAATTCCCTGACAAAATTACAGTCTATATCTCTCTATATGTCTTCTTTAATACAGCATGATGTTCATTTTGTAAATGGTCTCATTCAGAATAAATAGATGATAGCAGCGCTTGCTTTGGGGTTAAGGCAATTTGAGATTGACAGGTGACTAATGAAGCTCAGCGCAAGTTCAGGCAGGAAGACCTATCACTTCGTATTGCGCGTCATGGCAATACTCGCTCCCTTCACTAAATGATAGGGAGCGCCACTCCTCAGCTAACCTATCACGTCCCTCCATTCACAAGCCTAATCATCGCACCCGTTAACCCCTCCATATATGCTCTCCCCTTTTCCATCAGCTGTCTTCCAGGTGTCAACGCGCAAGCAGCA